AGTCGATCATCAGATTTTGTCAAAGATTAACCTTCGGGGTGAATATAGCTTGCTAACAGCCTCGCACCGAAGACCTACCCACGTCATCATTTACCCAGAATGCTTTGCATGTAATCAAAATGGCTCCATCCGTGTTACAACATATTTTTAAAAATGTACAAAACTAAACAGACTACAGTATTTTTACAGTCTTCATTTTACAGTTTAAATACATGTTTATCAAAWAAAGTCTAATGTTACAACTAATCGGGGATCCCTTTAAAACTCAAGCTCCTATTCCTTCCGCTTTACAAACAGGCAATACTTGGTTGGTTTTTCACTTAAAATTCCCAGTTTGTGGTGAATGAAATGTAGAAAAGTTCAAGTGATATGAAAATTGTTTCAAGGCACTGTAAAAATTAAAAACTGAAAATTTACAATTTTGCTGGTGTATCTCAAACTTTCACCAACTTTGGGACTTTGTTTTAGTGACTTTGTGGATATKTTTTGCTTCTGTAAAGTGCACAGGCTGTCCAGTTTGTTTTGTCAGGTTAATCTGCTACAAGCTTAAAAGACATAAAAGTGCAGCAGTCTTTGAGATTTCAACAAGGATGCTTCCTTCGAGTCCTCTTCTTCCTGGTGTTCAGTAAATACTCAGGACTGTAAATCAGCTGAAGAAACTGCACACACCTTAAGTAAAAACATCCACTATTTGTTGGCATCCTGGTCCTGCAGACTAGTCCACAGCCCAGCTAGGCCAATGTCCCGACAAATAGTAAGAAATGTACATGTGGACATGAAGATTTACGTCACTCTTGCTTTAATTTTATGTTGAACACAGAAAGAAAACAAAACACTGTATTCAACAGTTTATGACACATCTCACTATGTACTGTGCTCTGTTAAAAAGACGATTTTATGACCTTTTCATCAGCAGATTGTACAAATAATTTTACTGATGCCACAGTTTGTGTTGACATCTTCATTTGCTATAACACATTTTAATGATGTAAACTTTGGGAAAACTAACATTTTGTCCAACAATACCTGTAGTATTTATTTTAAAGTAATATGGACAATTCATGAGTCTTGAATCCATGTTTTCACTGTGTAAGATTTGCTGTCTGAAGCAACAAAACATCATTATCGCCGACATTAATGAAATGGAGGTGTGTGGGTGTCTGTGTGTGTTAGCAAAATATCTCATAAACCACTGGACTAATTTTAATGAAACTTGCATAAAGTGGGAAGTGGTGGTGCAGAGGTTAGAGAAGGTGAGCCTGTGATACATTTTATTTTTTTTTCATGGACATTTTATACTCAAAGAGGACTCCAGGTGAGCCCTCCCCCAGTCAGTTCTACTTCTTTTCCACATAAACACACCCACCAAGTTCTGACCAATCASACAATACTTGTCGCATACCCCTGCAAGAAAAACATCCTGCCAGGAACTTGTGCATGTGACAAATTCACGGAGGCCCTACAAGAACTAACTGATGCCATTTTCGTCTCGCAACCACGTTACTGAGAATAAACGTTTCAGCGTCTTGCAGAATATAAATCCTTTAGAGTTTCAAGATGGCCAACTGACCTTAAACAACATAACTCTGTCAGTTTTAYCCCCAACACAAATTCTGAGCATGAACTGTTAGTAAGTTATCTCATGAAACACTGGATGGATCTAAATAAAACTTTGAGGAAATAGTCACATCTACAAATGGATAACTTTTAGGGTCAATTACAGCTACAGTAATTGACCTTAGCAAACACAAAAATAGTAATGATACATTATACAGATAATGAATTTCTTCCAGGACTCTACTATCAGAACGCATTTCTTTCAGCTTAAGTGCGTGTCACAAAATAAACTAGAATATTGACATCTTGTTACAAATAAAGTTTACATTTTTTGCACTTTTTAGATGAAATACTGTAATTAATTGAACAAACTGAAACGTGTTTTAATTTTACATTCTTCCACATTTTCCTCCTTATATTGCCAAATTTGAAAAATTGAGTGTTCTTTGCCAGACCCCCCACCCCCAAGTCACAAAACGGATCTGATCCTTATCGAGTTTTTCMTTTTTTAAATTGATTACGTGTGAAAGATTTTTGTTCTTTTTCAATTGATGCTTTTATCATGTTAATGAAACAAAACACATGATATTTTAAATTCTAGAGGTTAAAAAGTAAATAGAGCTTTAAAAAAATCCAAACCTTTCCCGCAGGATTTGCTTCTTATTACAAGAAAATATGTTGATAATCAAAATTAAATGTCTTATGTGTTTGAATTGTAAATACCATGAAATGAATTTAGGTATTCTTATTTCATTTTACTTGTGTGTGTGTGTGTGCGCGCGCGT